AAAATTATTTCATGTTTTGCATTTGTTAAGACTTGATTTATGCCCTAAAATATTATATATTTTGAAGAAGGTTCCATGGGCTGCTGAGAAGAATGTGTGGTCTTGAATTTTTCAATGGAATGTTCTGAACTGTCTATTAAGCACATTTGATATATGGTGTATAGTTTAACTTTAATGTTTATTTGTTGATTTTGGGGAGTCTGGATGATCTATTGTTGAGATATTGAAGTCACTAATATTAGAGTCTAGGTGTCTCCTTATGTTGAGTAATGTTTGCTTTATGAAGCTGGGATCATGCACCAATGTCTAGTGCATATATATATATATATATATATATATATATATATATATATATTAACAATTGTTATATCTTCTTGGCAAGTTGTTTCTTTTACCAATATAGAGTGTCCTTCTTTGTCTCTTCTAATTTTGTCTAGAAATTTCTGTCAGATATGAGCATGGCTACTCCTACTTGCTTTCAGGTTCTGTTTGCATAGAATGGATTCACTGCTGAATTTTACAAGACATTTAGAGAAGAATTACTGCCACTACTCTTTAAACTTTTCAATGAAATTGAAAGGGAAGCAAAACTTCCAAATTCATTCTTGGAAGCAAGCATCACTTTGATTCCCAAACCAGGAAAAGACGCAACTGAAAAAGAGAACTACAGGCCAATATCCTTAATGAATATAGATGCAAAAATCCTTAATAAGATACTAGCAAATAGAATACAGAGGATCATCAAGAAGATCATTCATCCTGACCAAGTCGGATTTATTCCAGGGATGCACGGATGGTTCAACATACATAAGTCAATAAATGTAATACACTATATTAACAGAGTCAAGGACAAAAACCATATGATCATCTCAAAAGATGCAGAAAAAGTATTCAACAAAATTCAGCATAGTGAAAATGGCCATACTTCTAAGCTGCTATACAGATTCAATGCAATCCCGATTGAAATCCCAACAGTATATTTCACAGAACAATCCAAAAATTCATTTGGAACCAGAAGAGACCTAGAACAGTAAAAGCCACTCTAGGCAACAGAGACATGGCAGGGGGTATCATAACCCCCAACTTGGAACTACTACAAAGCTACTGTGATAAAAATAGCATGGTATTGGCAAAGAAACTGACCTGAAGATTGTTGGGGACCCCTGCAGTCAGGTACCAGTACTCACCTGCCCAATGTGCAACACAGGCCTGAGAAAAAGAATACACTAAAGTAGACAGAACTAAGAGAGAGGAAGCAGAGGCCAGGATGACCAATGCTGGTGCAACCAACAAAGGCACTAGACAGTCCCAGGCACTGACTTTTTTTTGGCAATCAACTGGGGAAAAGGCAACATGTGCTTTCTATGGAAATTAATGTAAACAAGGCTCATAGAGGACAAGACAAAGCTTTCTCAAATTAGGAACAGAATAGACAAAATATATGATTGTAATTAGAACACTGTCCTAATCTGAAGGTATTAGTTGTGGGAACTGAATTTGGGCGCGAGTTACTCTGACCTCAGCACAGAGGCATCAGCCAGACTCACTTCTGTAAACAGCCAATTGTGGGGTTCGCTCTTCACAGCCCACTTGGGGATAATCAATATTACAGTTCTCTGCAGAGGATCCATGGAATAGATGAGAAGAAACAAAAACAACTCCAGATGTACTCAGCTACCTCATCTTTGACAAAGGAGCCAACCATCCTCACTGGAGGAAAGATTGCCTCTTCAATAAATTGCGTTGCAATTCCTGAGTGTAGAAACTCTTTGTGCTTCCTTATAATTTAGGAGAGAACAGTTTAAGCCACTCAGGTATGAAATTTTTTCAGATGCTAAAATCCCTCTAGCAGAGATGTTTTAACATTATATTTTCAGAGATTTCGGTGCTGAAGGGCCAAATGTTTCTGGGCATTTTGGGCCAGTTGTTAATGTTAAACCATTACTTAGGCATTCACCAATAGTTTACAAATTTTCTTTAGGGGAGTATCTCAATTATGGAAAGTATTATAAGCCATGATCATAGACATCTATTAGACATTTAAGAGATGCTCTTAAACATTTATTGGATTCTCTCAGTATGCATTACACATAATCAATCAGCAGGTTTCTTGAATAAGAAGGTCTGTTAGTTAACCAGCATGGTTTTTTTTTTCTCATCGAGTTTATTGGTACATTTTAGGTATACAGTACAGTTATATTCATCATTGGGATCTTGTACCTCTACATGACAGGTCTTGGTTCTCATTTTTCCCCTTGTCCCTGCCCTCCCTTCACCCCCTCCTTCCCTCCCCATTTACAAACACTTTATTTCCATTTTTTCATTCTCTCCCATTTTTTTCTTTTCCCTTATTTCCTTTCCCCTACCCGTCCCACTTTTCCTACACCTTTAGCCCTTTTCTTCCTATTTCACATTAACCAGCATGTTTTGATTACCCGCTGTGTGTAAACTGCTGTTAAGTACCAGGGATGCTTTCACTCTTTGTCTGTTACTCAAACAGCTTATTTCATTGTAGTCGTGGTTGACATGAAGTGGTAAAATATCTAACATGCCGAAGCACTCCTGCTAGTTAATGCCTGGAAGAAGTCACTGGCGTATTCCAAATTCTCCTTTGATCTTGTTGTGTACAGTCTCCCTGGTAGAGCCCCCATCTGCTTATGAAGAGCCCTTTTGTTTTTTAAACTCTAGAGACCCATTTCACTGTGGATGACAGTGCAGAGAAAGCCTCCACATTTTCAGTTCTTAGTTTAGTCCTCTGTCATTGCCTTCTTGTTACTGAGCAGAGTATAAGGTGTGCCATATCAAAACCAGCTGCTACTGTATCCTTTTGATATGTCAGTACCCTTCAATGTGGCCTAGCTGATGTCTGATAAGTATTGTCAGTGTGCAAAATGCTTTACTCCAGAATGTTTTATTTAGGCAAACCAAGTCTGAAAATCTTAGGAACACAACTCTCTTTGTGGGTTGGTGTTAACTATAATCATTGTTGCCCACAGCCATGGAATTTTCACCTCCAGTTATCCACATGGTGTGTATTATTCTTTGAACTCTTTAGAATAAGTTTTTGTGAAAAAAAGGACTGTGAAATCAAAACAACTAGGCACTTGTGTGTGTACTAGATAGATTCTCTCAGTATTGTGATTTTGTATAGGATATTTGTTGTTGTTGTTATTTTGTTTTTTGAGACAGGGTCTCACTATGTAGTGGAGACTGACCTGGAACTCACTATGTAGCCCGGGCTGGTCTCGAACTCACAGCGATCCTCCTGCCTCAGCCTCCCGAGTGCTGGGATTACAGGCGTGCGCCACCACGCCCCGCTTTTTTTTTTAACATTCTTTTTTTTTTCTTTTTATTGAGTTTATTGGTACAATCTTGGTATACAATACAGTTACATTCATTATTGGGATCCTGTACCTTTACATAATGTCTTGATTCTCATTTTTTCCCCTTGTCCCTGCCCTCCATTCACCCGCTCCTCCCCTCCTCATTTGCAAACACTTTATTTCCATTTTATCAGTTTCTCATATTGCTTTCCTCTCCCTTATTACCTTTCCCCCACCCTTCCCACTTTCCCTACACCTTTAGCCCTTTACTTCCTATTTCACATTATTAATTATCTCATTAGGATCCTGTACAGGATATTTTTAATGACAGCATTCACAAAATGTCTTACGTTTTAAAAAGTATCTTATGCCTGTTACTTGATTGCCACTGATATAAAAAATATATTAGTGTTTTGTTTATACTAAAGCACAAATGCAAGAGTGCAGTTTATAAAATCTAGAAGGTAGAAGAATGACTGTAACCATTCAGTCTTATTAAGATTTTTATACATTGTTGCCTTTTTAATGTAAACACCCTTAGGTATCATTTAATAGTTTTAAAATATTGTGGTTTAGTACAGTTGATATCAGGTTATAAATATTATGCCTTTATTTTTGGTTAGAAGAAAAATTATTTTTAGCCTAGATCTAACCATTTTCATACTTTTAACTGAGACAGATTCAAAGAAATATCAAGTGCTATGCATTGAAACCTGTTTTTAAATGTTAAATGGCAATATGTATATTAATGTAAAACAATGTTCATTTACTCAGATTTTTAGTTTTTACTGCCTGATATGTCCATGTAAGAAGCCAATTTTTGTGTATTGTTACAACTTCAGGTTATTTATATTTGATGTTTTATAAAACTCAAATTAATGAATGGTACTATGGACCAAATAAATGGCATCTAATTGTTTAAAAATATTTTATGCATTAAAATAGACATAAATATGAAATAAACAGTGCCAATATTCATGATAAAGTGAGAAATGGTTAATATTTGGTTTCATTTGTTCTACTCAAAGCTTTTAAGGGCACCCTGCTACTTTTCCTTTTGTTTCCTGATATTTTTCAAAATTGTTTAATTTTTTTTTTTTTTTTTTTGATACCAGGGCTCAAACTCAGGTCCTTGTGCTTGCAAGGCAGCTGGTGGCAAAAATTGTTTAATTCTTGAATTATCATTTATTTAAGATGAATATAGAATCTAAAAGTGATTGATTTTGTTTATGAAATGTGTAATTTGCAAGTCAAAAATATTTTATTTTTTTAAATGGAAGTAAATTTATTTGTCTTAAGTTAAATCATTTTCAGTCTTCCTGGATACCTTAGTTATAACTGTCAGTGTTGCACTGGTCAGTATGTGGAAACGCATTGTTCTGCCTCGCTACTTACCTTTACTTGAAGTGAATTTAACGATGAGGAATTTATTAAAAATGTGTTTCTTTTTATGTTATAAGCAGTTGTACATGTAACTGATTTGTTAAAACACGCACTACATGTCCACAAATGACATTGTGACGAAGAAAATCCTGCTTTCTCTCCTCCCTCGCCATTGCACTTGGAACCCATCATCAGTTCCACTCGATGGATTACAAATACAGGGACGGCAAAGATGTGGGGGTTTTCACTCAGCTGGTTCATCAGGGCATTGCTTTTGCTCTGCTTTGTCTCCAGGGGTCCGAGTGGCAGTGCCTATCAGTTCAAGAAAGTAGTTTTCCAGGAATTTACTGATGGTTCTTTCACTCAACCTTTATACCGTGGAGAACTAAATGAACACTTGGGACTCTTGGGGCCATACATAAGAGCAGAAGTTGAAGACAATATTGTGGTGAGTTAAGAACAAAGAAATTACAAGACAATTAATTTTGCATGTTTATTTTGTTTCTGATTATAAAACAATTATTCTTACTTTTGAATTGTCCTGGGTGGCACCAGGAGTGAGCGAAACTCAGGACCTTAAGCATGTGAAGCACGTATACTCTACCACTGAACTATGCACCCAACCCATTTGATTTTTTATTTTGAGGTAGGATCTAGCTAAGCCTCTGGTCAGACTGGGATCACATTTGTGATCCTCTCACCCCAGTTCTCAAGTGCTAGGATTGCACATGGCCACCACCACACTGAGCTGAGACATTTTAAAGTGTAGAAAAATAAAGAAGTTGAAAAATAATATCTTAATTATCATTTATTACATTTTTCCTTTATATGTTTCTCTTTATATGTTTGAAATTGCATATGTAATTGTTCCTTAGTTTTTGAATACTGCCAGGGAATAAGCATTTCTTATGTCATCAAAAACAATTCCTGGATGGGCATGGTGGTGTACTACTGTAATCCCAGCACTTGGGAGGCTGAGGCAGGAGGATCACTGAAAGTTTGAGGCCAGCCTGGGTAACATAGTGAGTTCAAGGCCAGCCTGAACTAAATAGTGAGACCCTGTCTCAAGCAAACAAACAAAAAACATTTCCTCAGTAGGAATGACTGCGTAATTGTCTGTTCTGTGAATTTATGGAAGTGCAGTTTACATAATCACTTATTTTGAACAACTTTTTACACACTTTTTTTTCACTATATAAATAATTCTTTAGTCACAGTTGTTTACCCAGGATAAAGTTCCAGAAGTGCAAAGCACCTAAATAGTTTAAGATTTTTTGTTACGAATTATCAGTGTCTTTTGAAAGAAAGTTTGACTTTCTGGGTTTTTTAATTAATTGATTTTATTGGTACATAACAATCACATTCAGCAAAGGGAGTTTGTACCTGTACGTGATATAGCTTGATTCCTCTTTTTCTCCCATTCTCAACTTCCCCTTCCCCTTTATTTACAAAAGCTTTGTTTCCAATTTTTCTTTTTTTCTATTTTTCCTCTTGCCTTCACCCCCTTCCACAGTTTCCCTTTCCTTTTGAACAGTTTATTCCTGTTTCATATTATCTATTCTACATTTTGGTCCTTATTTACCCTTTCACTTTCTCACACTAGAGAGAAAATGTTTTTTGTTTGTTTGTTTGTTTTTGGTTTTTGTTTTTTGAGACAGGGTCTCACTATGTAGTTGAGACTGACCTGGAATTCACTATGTAGCCCAGGCTGGTCTCGAACTCACAGCGATCCTCCTGCCTCAGCCTCCCGAGTGCTGGGATGACAGGCCTGCGCCACCACACCCGGCTAGAGAGACAATGTGATATTTACATGTGTGCCCAATTTATTTCACTTAAGAGTATAGTCTCAAGTTGCATCCTTTTAGCTATAAATGTCTCATTTATCTTTCTGTATGGCTGAGTAGTATTCCATTATATTTTTTAAAACTCACATCTTCTTTATCCAGTCTCCATTTGATGAGCATTTGAGTTGTTTCCAAGTCTTGGCTATTACAAACTGTACCTCTGTGAACATGAGTGCATGTATATCTCTGTGGTATGATTCTTTTAATTCTTTTGGAAAGATACCCAGCAGAGAAATAGCTGGGTCAAATGGGACCTCTAATCCTAATGAATGAATGTCTTTCTTGGAGGGAGTGCTTTTCTTATTAATATGTCCTTGTATAATATCGACTAACCACTCATGATCTTAGTGAAAATGTTTCCAAGTTTATTATATCTTAATTTTTTTCTTCACATCTTTTTAATTTGTGTATATTGATTATCTAGATTAAGAAGTTTCATTTTGGCACATTGTAAATGCACATAAAACATTTTTTACCCCCATTATTCCTTTTGCTCCACCATCCCTCCCTAGTTTCACACTTTTGTGAGTTTTCAATGCATATATATTTTATCATTATTTATGCCCCTCTTCTTAATTTTATATATGAAAGTTTTCTAAATAAAATGGATTTTAATTTTTAGGTAGCACCCCATAAACATTTCCTTTTTGACACTTTCATTGTTTTTGTATTCATAAGAATCCCTTCTTATCCATAGATTTAAAAATCTTACCCATGGTTTCTTTAATGTTCTTTTACATCTTATTTTTACACTTACCTTTTAAATCTATCAATAATACCTGTACATTTGAAGTTATTTTAGTGCACTGTGTGAGATAAACATCAAAGTAGTTTTTCCAAAAATAGTGATTCATTTTCTCAATTTATTATCGATACAAAGAATACCAAAGGGCCTAAAATTATAGGATTGTGGGTAGATATATATAAAATTTGTTTATTTATCTTTGGTACCGGGAATCAAACTCTGATCATTATGCTTGCGAGGCAGGTGGCAGCACCAGTGAGCTAAATTCCCAGTCTGTGGGTACATATTTTTTTATTTGAATTTCATTTTACTTTCCCTATGTTCTTTAAGAAATGTATAATTTTAAGGATCTGAAATAAAAATCTTTTTTTTTTTTTTAACTAGTGATTGAACTCAGGACCTTGGTGGTGGAACCACTGAGCTACATCCCCAGCCCCCACCCACCTTCTTGTTAAGAGATAGCATATATTCAGCCTGGAATTTGTCATGAAATACTTAATATGTCATTATTAACTCCTGGGGTTATAATCTTTTAATACCCCTGCAGTGGCAACTTCCCTCTTACTTTAGAATTACTCTTAAGTATTTAATAATTTTCTCCTTTATAAATGTGAGTTCATGTCTTCAATTTAAAATAAAAAATTCTTCGGAATTTCCTTCATAGATCTTCAAGCTTGGGTTCGAACATCTGCCCTCTGCCCTCCTCCTCCAGGGTGTTACAATTTCGGTTAAAGACAAAAGATAAGCCTTCCTATTAGCGATGTGACCAGTAAGTTTAGGACTTTAATAGCCTAAAAGGTGATTCTTACGTTTGATTTTTTTGTTTGTTTTGCTCTTCAGGTAACTTTCAAAAACCAGGCCTCTCGTCCCTACTCCTTCTATTCAAGCCTCATTTCTTACAATGAAGATCAGAAACAAGAAGCAGAACCTAGAAAAAATTTTGTCAAGCCTAATGAAACCAAAATTTACTTTTGGGAAGTGCAGCAACATATGGCACCCACTAAGGATGAATTTGACTGCAAAGCCTGGGCTTATTTCTCTGATGTTGATCTGGTAAGCAGGCTTCATTGCGTTCACTACTTTCTAGGTTAAAAGAAATGATCTTTGTGTTGTATGCTAGGAATTTTGGTATTTGTCCTAAGCACAATGAAAAGTTTTAGATAGGAATGGTGACATCATATTTGTGTCTTAGAAATATCACTCTGGAGTCTACTGAAAAAGATGAACTGTGCTGTGGGCAGATAGGAAGCAAGTTAGAGTGCCATAAAAGTCAATAATAACCTACTCTGTGTCGTAGGGGAAAGGACTTATGCGAATAGGATTGATGTTCTTTCTCCCTAGGAAAAAGATATGCACGCAGGCTTGATTGGACCCCTTCTGATCTGCCACAGGAATACACTGAGCCCTGCTCATGGGAGACAAGTGACAGTGCAGGAATTTGCTTTGCTTTTCACTATCTTTGATGAGACCAAGAGCTGGTACTTTACTGAAAACATGGAAAGGAATTGCAAGTCACCCTGCAATATCCAAATGGAAGATCCCACTTTTAAAGAGAATTATCGCTTCCATGGTAACATATCCCACACCCAAATATTACTCGTTGTGAAATGTAGTGTGAGCTAGAAACCTATACATTTTATAATTTGCGAGTACATGTGTTCAGTGGAACAGTCAGATGTCAGTATTTTTGGTGAAATAAAAGGGAAAACAACGTCTGCAACAGATTTAACAGCCTCATCTGTGTTCCTCTTCTCCAGCAATCAATGGCTATGTGATGGACACCCTACCTGGCCTAGTAATGGCTCAGGACCAAAGGACTCGATGGTATTTGCTCAGCATGGGCAGCAATGAAAACATCCATTCGATCCATTTCAGTGGACATGTGTTCACTGTACGAAAAAAAGAAGAGTATAAAATGGCAGTTTACAACCTTTATCCAGGTATGAGCTAGTTTGTGCTTTCTTCTTCCTAATGTACTTGTTGAGTATTTACTTTATTTGTATTATTTTGCAATACTGAGGATTAAACCCAGGACCTGAACATTAAGCTCCAACCCTTACCCTTTAAAAAATTCTTATTTCAAGACAGTGTCTCACAAAGTCACTAAGCTGCCTAGGCTAGTCTCAAACCTGTAATCTTCCTGCCTCAGCCTTCAGAGTGCTGAAATCACAGGCGTGCAATAACACCGTCAGCTGAGTATTTACTTTAAATGGTCTAAGTTCTGGGGATGCAATCAGTGAACAAAGAAAGCAAGCTCCCTGCTCTCAGCTAACTTACTTTTTTCAAGAAACTTCATACTACAGAGAGATAAGTTAGCAAATGAACACAATAATTTCAAGTACATAAAATTGCTATAAAGGAAATAGAATAGAATAAATGGATGGTTAAAATTATAGCACTTTCCTAAGAATGCTTTTTCATTTTCCATCTCAAATCCCACATGACATCAGAAATTATCTAAGTGCTTTGGTTACGTATGCAACCAGTATATTGATTAAGCACTGCTAACAATGTAGCTCAAATCAGTTTTATTTTAGTTCTGTGTTGTCTCTAAAACAGGTTTAACAGTGGAGGTAAACATCCCATTTCTTCATAAAAAATCTGAGAAGCCCCACTTCTTTTCTGCTCACTCAAGTAACAAATAGACCTGCAGTCACGTTATTTCACAGGTTACAATTCAAGTCAAAAATTACAATGATCATTTCAAGATAGTAATCAAATTTCTGCACTTTTTAACTTCAATATTCCCTCACCCAACATGAGCGCACATCAGGCTGGAAGTCTGCACTGGGAGGAGTTATGGTTGGGTCCTCTGCTTCTCCACCTTGTGCTTTTTGTGCCTCCTCCTTCCCCCTGCCAGAGGCTGCTTTGAATTCCAGCTCAGCTAGATTAAAAGTAAGGGAATAAGACTGTTCTAACCTACTTAGAACTGCCACTGTTGTTGTAAGGTACCTTGATACTGTCTACACCTAGCAAGTATTTAAAGAGGACTCTTTCTCTTACAGGACATTTTCAGGGGCTCCTCAGAGACTCCTTTTGCGACTGTTCCTCATGAAATCCCCTTTGCCTGCTTGGTTCCACCTTTATTCTGGGTGACCCCTTCTAACTCATTCCTGACCCCTTCAGCATTCGTTCCAGCTTCATCCTCAGACGACCTCACCTGACTCTGTCTCTCTCGGAGCCCACATCTGGTCAATAAGAACTATACCTGCATGCTCTGAAAACCCTTGAGAGTGTAGGCCAGTCCTAATGCAATTGCACTCTCCTGTCTCCATCATCAAAGGAGATGATTTGGTCACTTTGTCTCTCATTGTTCAGGAGGGAGGTGATTAAACTCAATCTCCAGTATCTCCAACAGTAGGGACCACACAGGAAGCGCTTTGGGTTTGAGGAGTTCCAGAGTGGTGGAACTGAATTTGGTACATCTCCTTTGCTATTCTGTGAGAACCATTGTATTTCATGCTCATTTTTTTAGTGAAAAGAAATAAATTTTATTTGGGTCTTTGAAAAGGTGCTTTTGAGACAGTGGAAATGCTATCATCCAGAGCTGGAATTTGGCGAGTAGAATGCCTCATTGGCGAGCACTTGCATGCTGGGATGAGCACCCTTTTCCTGGTGTACAGCAAGCGTGAGTAACACTGTGAGCAGAGACTCACTGCCTATCAGCCTATATCTGCACAGCTTTCCTCCTTCTTGGAATGGTAGGAATGTCAAGAAATAACTACAAATGCATATCAGTATTAAATTCAAAATGAATATTGCAGGTAGAAAACATAGTCCTCCGAGAAGGACAGATACACTGTAAGTTGTGTAGACTTGGAATTTATCCAATAAACTGATGCTAAAAAACAAAAACTTTTCATTTTTAGAACAACAGATTTTGGATTTGAAGTTTAATTCAATTACCAAGGATAACTTACAGATATCACTTGGAAGAGTTTGGGGATTTAGCCTTAGACAAGTAAGATAATTACCACTGGTCTATGTATGGATGCTAGTTTCCTCAGCTGCAAAGTATGAATAGTTCTAACATTTGACTGTTAGAATGAATTAAATACAATAGCACAATAAAATATTTAGTACAGTTCTTGGTACATGTTAAGCACTAAAATATTGGTATTTATTGGTGTTCTCCCATTTTCATTGACTTACATTTAAGAAGCTGAGTTGTGTGCACTTTTAGCCCTGTGTTCCCCCTTTTTGATTTCAGAGTGTCAGATTCCTCTGGGAATGGCTTCTGGACACATTAGAGATTTTCAGATTACAGCTTCAGGACAATATGGTAAATATTATTATTTTTGTTTCAGTAACTAATCCACCTCCATGCTTTTACTAATTCTATTTCATAGATGCATCTAAAATCCATCTCATCCTCTCCATTTCTCGCTGTGACCATCTTAATTCAGGCCACCTTTGTTTCCCTGGGCAATAACTCTGCCTCCTTAAATATCCTCTTTAAATATTGCTCCCTGAAGTCCTTTCTCTTCACTGTAGCAGGAAGCTACGCTTTCCTGTGAGCAGCGACATAAAGCTTGAATAAGACCCACTACCTGTTTTTATATATCTGAGTGAAGAATAGATTTTTCATTTTTTAATTATTTTAAAAAGAATATTTCACGACATGAAAATTATAAAATGCAAACTTTAGTGTCCACAATAAAGTCTTGTATTGGAATATAGCCATGCCCATTCATTTACATCTTATGTATGGCTACAACAGGACTTATGTAACAGAGAGCACATAATCTACCATCATGAAATTATTTGCATTCTGGCCCTTGACAGAAAAGTAATTGCCAACCCCTATTTTAGAGGGGGAACACTCCCCCTTGTAAAAGAGGCTAGAAAGTTATTTTTAACACTAGTACTATTTGGAAGGACTGTATTTTTATTTATTTTAATTTATTTTACCATTTAAAAATTTGTTTTCTGATTTCTCTTCAGTGAACATATGTTGTGTAATAAGTTATATCACTTGGCAGTGCTGGTAACAAATTCTAGTATCAGCTAATTAGAAGTGCTAATTATATCAACAAAATTATTAAATTTTAGAAAATGAGATGTACAATTACAAGCAAAACCTTAGAGAGAAATCAGCACTGCTAAGCTACAAAGCTTTGTATGCTTTTGTCTATGTACTTCACAACTAAGATTAATCTTTCTAAAAAGAATGATAACATTCCCAACTGTCTAGGACCAATCCAGTTGAACATTTTCTCTCTCCTCTTTCTTGGGCAAAGGACAGTGGGCCCCAAAGCTGGCCAGACTTCATTACTCTGGATTGATCAATGCCTGGAGTACCAAAGAACCTTTTTCCTGGATCAAGGTTAGAATTCCTCTTATTCATCTCACAAGCTCAAAGTATTATATATGTCCCTTATACTGTAGTCACTCCTGCCAAACCTCAGTTAACAGACAAAGAAACTGAAAAATAAAATGGTTTATGATTTGTACAAAAACACTCATGAACAAAAGATTCAGGAACATAATTGAGTATACTTGAATACTTTTCTACTATATTGAACTCATCCCCTCCCAAGATTGTGTTTTCTGTTTTTAGATGTCTCCAACTATGTAGGTATCCTTGAGCCCTCCAATACTGTGTATTTTAACACAGAAACAAGTAACTCAATCTACCATGTCACAAGTAAAGAAATTGTAGTTTCTTTTCTAAAACTGAATCTGTCTCCCTCATAAATTCTATACCCCTGGGTAGTAGAAAATGCCTACTTAAATTTAGTCCAATCTGGAAAAGTAAGATAGATTAATATCTGAAATAATGTCTTTTGGTTAACTCAAATTTTTAAAAGGACTCAGTCTTACAGATTTTCTCACTTCCCTATTTCCTTTAGAGCAGCATTGTCCAACAGAAATATAACATGAGCCAAAAACACAAATCACACACGTAACTTTACATTTTCTACTAGGAAAGGATTTGGGGTAGGTAGCTATTCTGGTAAGAAGGCCTGAACAGGCACAAGGGCACTGGGTTGGCACGAAGGGCACTAGGCAACCAAGGCCAAGCAGTCAGCAGCGAGTAATCAACAGGCTGCATGGAGACACATAACTGCATTGTTTGTACATATATACTGTGAAATTCATTTCCACCTTGCTTACTTCCTCCTAGACAAATGTGTCTCCCAGTTACACTGAAATGCATTGCTGGACTCTTTTAAGGTCTAATTATAATGTAGAAGAGATTTGAGAAGATGAAGTAGAAAAACATTCAATTATAGAATGTAAATAGGCTGACAGGGCTTTATTAAATCTGCTAGAAGATACAGTAGTCAGTGATCAAAAAAAGGATATGCTTTCATATAAAAAAGATATATGCTTTTCATATGCTACATAGAAAAAACAGTACAGGTCAAATGACTTTTGTACATGGTGTTTTCAGTTGTTTATTCCACAATACCAACAGGAAAAGTTGTCATCCCTTGGAAATAGCATTTTATATGGAAAAAGATAGTGCTGCAGCTTCTGAAAACATTGTCACTCTATGTCCTTTTATCTTGCCTTATTTATATCTTTCACTTATCACTATTTGATATTAATAAATACAAATATGTTAGTGGTGGTGGTGGTGGTGATGCATCTGTGTGTACGTGGGTGTGCTTCCCCTGCTTAAATGTAAGTTTCATGATGAAAGGGCTTTTTCTGTTTACCGTTGTGCTCTTACTACCTAAAATGGTGCTTGGTATGTAGCAAGTGATCAAAAATAATCTTTAAATGAATGAGTATGTGAATGGAACTTACGGTCAACTCAAGCACATGGCCATTACACGTGAGAGTCATGACCAGTTTAGTTTGTATGTACTGGGCATCTGTGAAAATGTTGTTTGACTTGGGTGTTATGGCAATAACAGATATCCTTGTAAAGTTTACATGGTTCTCACCCTCTTTAAGAACGGACCATTCCTTACCACTCTGCCATTATTCACTCATTCATTCCACATTTACTGCACTTTAACATTATATCAGATTCCATGTTAGGTTCTGAGGGCAGAGAGAATATAACAGCTAACATTGAGTGTTTATTATGTGCCAGTCACACTGAATTCGGCACATTACATGTATAAACATTTTAATCACTTGAGTTAAGCATTAATATTATCTCTATTTCACAGATAAGCAAATTGATAAAGAAAAGTTGAGTGACTCAAACAGGTTCACTGCTTTATGGATCTCAGTCTAAGAAGGAAGGCAGACAAGCAAAGCAACCTTAATAATATGGTATAATAATTTGCTAGGATGAAGTTAGATACAACATGAAGTGGATAAATAAAGCAGCACTAAATTTATCTGTGTGACTCAGGAGAAGCTAAGCAGGAGAAATCATTGCTGCACTGTAGTGAAGAGGGAAAGGGGACATCACCAGAACCCTTGCAGTAGGTCCTGGTCTCCTGTGAGCCAGGATAGCACAAGGCAAATCAATGAATAAAGACAGCTGAGCTTTGGCCTGATCCAAGCTGATCTGGGCAGCAAAGATGATAAGAGCCTGAGCTTGCCACAGCTTGCCACACCTTTATTGGATTTATTAGGAGTAACAGATGACTCAGAGGTTGGCAATAATCCTAGGTCGATAAGGAACTTACGTTGATTAGGAATTTGTTCGTCCACAGGTGAAACCTTTCCCTTACTACTCGGTTCTCGAGGAACCAGAATGTCTTCAGCTGATGTAGTCCTACCCTGGAGTGTCACAGCATCATGGGACCTTTGAGTTTTTGGCTGTGATTGGAGGCAAAAATGGAGTTATGCCTCAACTTGCTATAGCTGGCCTGTAGGCGGGAAAACTAGGCCTAATCATAATTTAATTGTGCAATGATTTTCCCCCAAAATTTTATAGAATTGCTCCGACACTGAACTGACACTTCTAGAAGGTAGAGCAGTTCATTGCTGATCACAATGTAGGGAGAGGGGAGCAAGTTGACTTTAGCTTGGCTGACACTAAGGTGTGAGTAAAGAAAGCATTAGGTTATGTGTGTCTATATGTGCAGTACAATGGATATGTGTGTAGAGAAAATGGGTCAATGATGTGACAGTGATCTGGTCTTCCAGCAAGCAGGGATCTCGATATGTGCCCTTTCCACTCATTCCCAACATTTGCTCCATAGCTCCACACATAATGTCCACATTTCAACATTGTTGTCTGCACATCCAAGGTCACAATGGGCACATCTGTTGCAATATATTCTTCCTAAGCCAATAATTAATGTCAGCAGGTAATACATACATTTAAACATCGATTCAAATAAAGTGTTGTTTTAATTGGTAGGTGGATCTGTTGACACCAATGATCATTCACGGAATCAAAACCCAGGGTGCCCGTCAGAAGTTCTCCAGCCTCTATATTTCTCAATTTATCATCATGTATAGTCTTGATGGGAAGAAGTGGCTGACCTATCGTGGGAATTCCACTGGGACCTTAATGGTATGTAAGCAGCCTTTTCAAGACAATGCATTAATACTTTAAAGACCTTTGACATAAGGGCCAGGGATTTAGCTCAGTGGTTCCGCCGCCTGCTTCTCAAGAGCAAGGTCTCAAGTTCAATCCCCGGTACCAAAAACAAAAACAAAATAAAACAAACCTTTCACAGATTTCATATATGGAACAAACTGTCTTAGATTCTACACACTTAACTGCAAAAAGGTATTTTCTACCTATAGGTAATAACGATTATGGATATATGAAAAAAGTGTAGTAGTATCAAGATTCTTATAGATGATAGAAGTGAAGAGATGTTCTATTATTGAATGTCTAGGAGTCAGTAAATTTTTAAAAACCTTGATCAAAACCATGAATGCAGATAAAGATTTTTAAAAGATAAATGAAAAGAGTTAGGTGAAACCATGGGAATTGACTCATTCTCTAGGGGTGAGTTCAAGACCCTTTCTTAAATAGGCAGGCTTAACATTTTAGCATCATTGTCTACACTCCTCTCATATTTATGCCCCTGCTTCACAAATCTGTTCAGTTCTTCCTTTGTGTGGCCCTTTTGTGTCTTCCTTCTGAAAATAGTTCTAGAAAACTTCGATTTTTTTCCATGGAACTATTGCTTTACAATCTTTTAATGTAGTAATCACATATCTAATGCAAGTTAGAAAGCAAGCTTACTTGAGCTTTGTGCTTTATTTGGTGGTAGATGCTTGACTGTGTTTTCCATTCTTTTTCTGATTATTGGGTTCTCACTTTCTGTTATATTAATTGCTGTAAATGTGTGTAAATGCCTGCAGTAGATCTGTATATCTCTTCTCATGTCACATATCTATATCTGTGTACATACATATATCTCTATCCTTTTTAGCCTTTGATTAGAGTTAGGAAATATTTGTCTATTCTACTGGTTCTTCAAAACATCGACTCCCAATTTTTGAAATGAAGCCTAATTTTGAAAGAAATGTTCTTTACATTAATTTGTATAATTAATTTGTTTGCATCTTTAAAAAAATCTTTCATTTTCTTTTGGTTTATTCATTCTCCTAGAATCTAGACTTGAGGGTCTAGTTCATTTATTTTCAATCTTTCTTTTACATTGAGAAGGATAATCAACCACTCTTATGAGGTTCATTCTTTTAACAAAAAGTTATTGAGCAACTATTATGTTCTGTATTCTAATACAAGGGTTGAAAAACTATAGCCCATTGATTTGTTCTACAAGCTAACTTTGCATGAGCTGCAAGTTGAAATGGTCTTTACATATTTACAGGTTTGCAAAAACAGAGATCATGCCACAGAGACCATTTGTGGCCTAAAGACTAATATAACTCTGGTCTTTTACAGAACAAAGTTTGTGGACTGCTGGTCCAGTGTAATGGCAGAACAGATGCCTAGGCAATTAACATTAATCCTTGTGTACAAGAACCCTTCAATCTCAAAACTTGCCTGATTTACTAATTTCAGTCTTGAACATCTTCCTCCATTTTATGGTTCTCGAGTATCTTTATACCTTTGAACCAGTTATATGTGAAATAGATTCATAAGCAACACTTGTCCTTATAGGAGCATCTAATAAGGGGAGAGGGAACCCCAACCCTCTTAAGGATGACTGCTTCACTGCCACTATTTTCAATAGTTTGCAGTATTTTAGTGTAAATTTTGAACTGTCTAGATAAGGATCTTTTCCCTTGGTTTTCAAATTAGAAAACAGAACAACCATGTTCATGCTTTAAAATAGTCCTCTTTGGCATATTAGAAATCAGTGTTGCCTGGTGTGGTGGTGCACACCTATAATCCCAGCACTCTGGAGGCTGAGGCAGGAGGATCATCACAAATTCGAGGCCATCCAGGGCTACATAATGAGTTCAAGTTCAGCCTGAACTACACAGCAAGACCCTGTCTCAAAACAAACAAACAAACAAACAAATCAGTGTTTATCTTTATATTAGGGATAAGTGAACTCCTGAGCTGCTGCAACTTGACCATGACCCAGCTTTTCCTGAGATACATAGAGAGGCAATGGCAGGCCCCTTCCTCTTTCCATCGAGCAGGGAGCAGGCCACAATGGCAGCAGGGTGCAGCTCTGGCCAAGATTAAGGCTCAGGACCTTCCCTCCAGCAAAGGAACTCCTTTCCAAGATCGGAGTTGTCCGCAATTCCATCGCCTGTGTCCTTACCTTTATTAACCAGATGAAGAAAAAAAACCTCAGGAAATTCTACAAGAGCAAGAAGTACAAGCCCCTGGACCTGCTGCCAAAGAAGATGCGAGCCTTCGCTGTGGGCTCAGCAAGCAGGAAAAGCTGAAGACCAAGAAGCAGCAGCACAAGGAGCGACTGTACCTCTGCACAAGTTCCTGGTCCGGGCCTGAGCAGCAAGGAGGAAACAATAAAACTCAAACTCTGAAAAAAAGAGTCAATGGCAAACGGGAAATAAGGAGCTTTAGTGTTTCCTAGAATTATGCGTATATAACCTCCTGGTTTTCCGTCCCTCTATCTCCTCAGTGCAATGAGTTTAGACCAGAGGACTACAGGCTTTTCCATAAGCACCAATTAAAGACATCACTAATCATGCTTCATAACCATTAAACAGTCATGTTAAAAAGAACAACAACAACAACAAAAAAAAACAGTGCCCAGTTCTATAGCCAGGGCTGAGAAAGAGTATACTGGAAAAAAGCCCGAAGCAAAGGAGCACACAGCTTTACCACTTTTGTAATCAGTTGAATGAGCCTTTGAGGACCCCATTAGGAAACTCACTGACATCGAAATGAGTAGAATGGTATGGCTGCATCTGCCATATGTGGGCCTCCCCTGTATTTCCCAGTACTTCCACGCTGTTGAAGTGGAAGCAAAAACAAAACAAAACAAACAAACAAACCTGGAGTTACAGCTATTCTGAGGCACCTAACTCATAGTAACACCCTACACCTATCCCCCTAGAAAGAAAAAAAAATCCACCCAAATATTGTCCTTAAATATCAGCCCAAAGAATTCTGCAGATAACTTCAACCTAAGTAAAGGATGCATATGCCTAAAGTTGAATGTTTGAGAAAAAGGTTATATTTCAAAGAGTTTGTATTATTACCCTGAATAGTGTAAAAAAATAATAACTACATAAATAAGAAAAGAGCCAGGTAAGACGATGCATGTCTGTAATCCCAGCTATTCAGGAGGCTGAAACAGGAGGATCACAAGTTCATAGCCAACCGTAGCAACTTCACGAGACCTTGTTTCAACATTTAAAAAGGCTGGGGATGTACCCAGTAGTACAAGAGGTACCTGTTGTTTGGGAGGTCCTGGGTTTGATTCACAGTACAGTACTGACAAACAAACAAAAAAATCAAAGCTGGTTTCCTTGTTAAATATGGACCAGAAAGCTTTGAAGTGGTGCTTCCTTTATTTTTATTAACATTACATTTATTACTTGTACATATTAATGAATTTCACTGTAACATTTCAGCATATGCACAGTATTTGACACTGGAAGGATAGCCTGCTTTTCAGAAACAAGGATACTGCCTTGTATGTACAGTACATGATCCTACAATACAAAAGAGCCACACTACATACGGGTGTTAAATAAAAGTTGGAGCAAGACCCTTTACAGATAAAAGCTGCAATGTAGATTACATATACCTGTCAGAAAGCAACCAAACCTGTGACTTCCAATTCAGCTAGGTAACACTACCACTCAACTGTTGAGTTGGACATATGTGTCTTACATTAATCCCAGCAAGGGCCTGGTGTGGGCCTCCGCTATAGTCATTCTTTACCCAGCATGACCTGCATGCCAGAGATACTATAGATATCCCTGATTCAGCTTCTTGCCTCCTGACAAGATAGTCACAAGTTACAGATAAGGTAAATCTCAACCCTAAATCAGGAATGAGTTTCCTGATACCATACCTTCATCAGTGATTTAGCGCTGTGTAGCAAAAAGATTATAAGGCATAACATGATTCCCCTGTGTGGAAATGAAACACTGGAGAAAGTGATCATTGGGACACAGAAATGCGCTAAGAAAGTAACAGTGAAATCATACTGCTTACATACTCTGAGCGCTGCAAAGGCAGGTGCTCACCAAGAAACAATGGAGCAAGAATACAAAGATGAAAAGTATTCTCATTTTTAATACTGCAGTTTTTGGAAGATAGCCATATCCTTTACTTTCATTCTATCGTAACTGAAGGTTTTTGTCTCCCATTAACATGGAAATGAGATTTTGGGAGGTAACATCCACTCAGTTAAATTCCTGAGGCAGCAATTGGAATTGTAGAAAATGAAAGAACCAGGATTGACATCTTTTATTTCTCCCTTATATGGAAAGGTAATATGCAAAACTGGAAAGACAAGACATGACAGATGGCCATTTGGTTAACATGATCTGTCAGACCCCCTGTCCTGCAGGGGAGATGGTTTCCTGCACAACAAGGTGAAGGAGGTGGTTCTGCTCAGCGGTCAACAGAGGCCACATCTCCACCTGCAGCGACTTGACGGCTTCCGTGTCCTTCTCATGAGTAGCCATGACCAAGGACTGAAGCAGCAGAAAGAGCTCCTCCGGGAGCTGGCCGCAGCTCTCCTGCCCGTGGCTGTCGACAGTCTCCCAGGAGTACTTCTCCAGGGTCTGGGCGTGCTCCGGTAGCAGCTTGGCGGGTGGTGGCTGCAGCAACAGGAGGAGCAGCACGCGGGACACCTCGCAGCGGATGAGCACGTCGGAAAAGGCTCCCAGCGTGGCCTGAGAGGGCCCAGGGGCAGCCCCAGCGACAGCAG